AGTACCCATCACAATAGCAACCAGTGAGAAACTCGTCAATTCTATAGTACCAGTCTGACACTCAGGTGAGAATGATCCTCCTGGTAACAACTTAAACTTGAAAGGGCCGCACTGTTTACCAGGTTGAACCTCAGCTACTACAAAGCTCAGATACTCACTCTGAGATTCAGAGCTCAAATGAGCACAATGTACTAGCTGTACAGTCACTGGTTTATCCAGTTCAGGAACAGCAGGAGACACAGATATGTAACACACACTACTGATTAGATGTGTGCCTCCAGGGAACTCAAAATCTCCTCCCCATAGACCTTGAGCAGCAGCTTCATAAACAGTGCTATCCACTGGAGAGAAGAGTCCATCAGGTAGAGAGAGGGTAAGACCGCATTCATTCAACTTTAACTCATGACTGCTGTTAGCATTATACAGACACACCTTCTTACCCAATGTTACCATACCATCAAATGGTAATTCTATACAATAACAGATTATTAATACTTAAACAATAAACTACACTAACCTGCTTTAGTCCAGTAGTCACATTGAATACTCTTAGTATCAGTTGAAATATCTTTCATTGACTGCAACTCTTCCTTTAGTCGTGGCTCTGTCTTCATCAGTTTAGCTATCAGCATATCTTTCTCAGACATTTGAGTTTTAAGTTTCTCAATCTTGTCAGACATTTCATTTTTAAACTTCTCATTTTCTAAAACAATAAATAATACAAGTTGTGTATCGATATACTAATAATAGTCTTACCACTGGTTGATATTTCTAATTTGTCCTTTAAATTTGATTTCTCTTCAGTCAGCATGGTTGTTTTAGCTTTAAGTTTCTCAATCTCATCTACACAAAATAAATGTGTAAAAACATATTATACCATTATAAGGATATACAATGACTGGTTGTTTGTTTAGTTTTTGTTGTCTGCTCCTCCTCCTTCTCCTCTCCTGTATTATCATCATCTTTATAAACTAGTAAACATACACACACACACACACACACATTAAACAAGTGTCTAACTACATGTATTACTGTGTGTATATACATGTACTTACCATCAGTTGGTTCAGTAGACAGTTCCTCTTTAGTTGAAGATAGTTTAGTTTCTTTCACTGGTTCTACTCTTGTCTTGTCTAGTGGTATAGGTTCAATAACTACTGACACACACACACAGAGTAGAGGACTATACCTTGCTGACTAGCCTCAAGGAGTGCTTCCTGCAGTGAGGTCTTGTTTCCCTCAGATACTCTTAACTCCTGCTGCAAAGATTCCACATAATTTTGTAGTTTTAATTCTCTGTCTGTAGGGTATACTATAAACTGATGTTGCCACCATTGTCTGTTCTTTAATAATAACTGATACTTGTGTTGATAGGCCTCAGTAGTCAGACCAGTAGAATCTAGTACTTCACTTACTCTCCATTCACCTTCTCTTAAAACTAATAGAAATATAAAGGAGGAATAATCCATGAATGTACACAGAACACAATACATGTAGCATTAGAGAGTAAAATACTATATAAATGTTATGCATTAATTGCTGTTTTATAGTTGACAAATTACAAACTAGAAAATACATTTAAGGGACATTTGCTAAAAAAGTGCTGGTCAAATGACACTAATACATTGCACTATACACAGCACATGGTAATTTGGTTATGTCAACTATCATTGCAGTTCATTATAGACCTCTTGGTGCTAAATATATTCATAATGTTACTGTAATAATTTGTAACTTTTAGCCCCACCCATTAGGTGTGGTTTTCGTCATGGCAGCCATTTTAGTGTCTAACATGGCCAATCTTTTAAATGGTAGAAAATAGTTTTCCTCTTTTTCTGGAGCTGATAAGAATAGATAGAGTCAGCAACCTACTATCGCACACCATCGATATTCGAACACTTTTTCTCACAGTTCAGTGATCAGAAGCCAGTGGCTATAATTTTATCTTGTAGATCAGATGTTCCTCTACAGCTGTAACAACTTTCATAGAGATCAGTCCTTGCTATGTTTTTATAATAATTTTTTAGTAGAAGTTTCGAACACATGCAAGTTCGCATAGACGCCATGTATTGTCGTTCACCTATTTTCGCTCAGTAATGAAGTAACTGGCAAACAATTCATCATATTCATATGAAAGCCCTGTTATTCTGCTCCATGATGCACTATTCAGTTACAAGAAAGAGCTAGTCTTCACTGCGCTAGAGTTGATTCTTTGGAAGAGAACACGCACATCTACATTCGTTCAAATTTTAGGTAATTTCAATTT